CTCTCTCTCTCTCTCTCTCTCTCTCTCTCTCTCTCTCTCTCTCTTCAAGCAACGTGGCCCTACGTATCGCGCATTATTTATCGAGCCTCGCGTCTACCGAGCCTCGTGTATGTCCGAATTTCGTGGAATTTTAACGGGTCGTACTTACTTATTTATTTATTGAGTCTATTGCGCAAGCAAAAGGCGAGACGTAAGCGCTGAACCGCTACAACCTTACCTGGATATACGAACGGTATATACACACAGGATTTGACGTATTGTATTTAATGAATTGATAATAATAACAGTTTTATTAGTCTTAAAATAAAGGAATGAATACAAACAACTCAAATAAGAAGGTATATACAAATTTATCACGTTGAAATAGAAAGACGAGATAGAAATACGAAAAAAATGATCCAAAATTGCTCCTGACAATATTTCAACCAAAGTGTAATACGAAAATCTCAGTGTCATTTTATCAAACTTATAGTTATATCAATTCTTTAAAACCTAAGCATCGAACTCATTCGAGTAAAACTTTTTTCTTCATAAAATAAGCTTAATAAACCCTCCTGATGAGAAATTTTGTTCTAATAAAATTGATCGTCTAGAAATATACATTTTCTGAATGTACACATAATTATGTACATTGACTGCGAGTACATGTTTCCACGTGTGCTTCAGAGAGAGAGAGAGAGAGAGAGAGAGAGAGAGAGAGAGAGAGAGAGACAGAATTGAATAAAACTTATAATTATAATAATCAGTATAAAAGTGCCAGAAAATTACTTTTTCACGGGTTAAGATAAAAGATATGACTCTATCTAGGATAGTCAGCATAGATTTTTTTAAACACATACATTTCTTCTCTCTTTATTGCTATTTCCTTTGAAGAATTTCGAAAAATAGAAATATATCTAATTTGTAAATTCAAAAATATATCTAATTATAAAAACAAAATATATTTGTTATGAGTTAAAAATTTGCAATAATTTAAACAAATCAAAAGCAATTTAATATTTCACCACGAAACTTTACCGAATACATGCCACTTTATAAAAAGTCAATATAACAAACAATTCATATTATTATTGAATGAATATTATTATTGAATGATGCAAATTTAATGATTAGTTCAATACAATATATTCGCTTCATAAATATAATTAAAAATATTGCAGCTTCCATCTCTCATCACGATTGTGTGTGTACGTCTTTCGTGATAATTACGAAAGTCTGTTGAATAATACAGAGAATTTCTGCCAAAAAAAATGTATCCAATAGACGAAATAATAACATTGTAGTTGTTATATTATATTACCACCTTTTGCTTGAGAAATTATTTATTTATTTTTTAATATAATAATTATTACGCGTAGTATATATATATTTTATATTAAAATAATGAACAACATAAAAATGAAAGTAATGAAAACTGAACGCTAAACACTAAGATAAATTAGATGCAACGTAGTTCTTTGACCAGTAATTGGAACACCGTGCAGTCGCGAAATTCGTTCTCTTTTATTTTTTCACAAAGACACATCTCTTTGCCGGGACCAACATCGGGGACAAATAGCGAACGGCGAAGGATATACCGCGGCAAAGTAACTCCAACGTCACTCTTCGAGTGGTTCTGGTCGCTAATAGTTCTCGGTTTCGAGAACTCAAAGTTTCCGAACGTTTCCCGCTCGGTCCCCTATCCGCCGTGACACGAGAGCGTAATTTCACTTTGAAACATTCGCAAACAAGTTTACCGGCTCTCTCAAGGGTCGCTAATGTCTATATATATTCGTACGTAAGATACGCTTTAATCGCGCCGTATTAATCGCGCGCGCGCAACTAATTTCTCGTCTGTCTCTTTTGCACACGGATCCGCTCTTATCTCGCGCCGAATTCGCCGCTTTGAAAGTATCGCGGCGCGTTGTGCACTTCGCGAAATTCACCGCTAATTAGCTCGCCTATTAATTTCCTCCGAGGCGAGGCGACCATGTCTAAATCGTCGAATCTACTTTTGCTTTCAGTGTGCGGCGACATTCACGGACAGTTCTACGACCTCATGAAATTATTCGAAGTGGGCGGGCCACCCTCCTCGACCAAGTATCTCTTCCTCGGCGATTACGTTGACAGAGGTTACTTCAGTATCGAGGTGAGTATCTGAGGAAGAAAGATGCAGAGCAGTCTCTGTCTGCACGCAGAAAAATCTTCTGCACGCAGAAAAATTTTTTTGAATAATATAGCTTACTAATAGTGCAAGCTGGGCCATAATAAAGCATCTGATTTTAAGTAGCTGCCATTTATTTTGTAATTAAAAGAAAAAAATTTAGTTTAAATATTTATTTAAATTATAAATTTTAAACGTAATGTCAATTAAAGTTGATGCCGGTCAAATGTTGATACCGCCTCTAACTGAGCGATGAATGTCATTATCAGGATTTCTCCAGGTGATGATGGAAAATTTTGTAATTCCGTTACTTTCAGGAAAATTCGAGAAAAACCGTCTAAAAACGGAACTTTTAACTTCAAGCAGCTTAGAAAAAAGCACTTTTCAAAGAACTTTTAGTAAATAGTTAAATAGTACGAAATAAAAAATTTAAAAGAAATGAACCGCCTTAAAAACCTCGGAAGCCTAAAGAAGCCCTAAAAAGTACGAAATATAATTTTAAATCAATTTGACTATTATTATTGTATACACTGAAAAAAAAGTTTGGTAATACTTACCAAATGCGTTTTACCATACCATTTATTAAATAGTAACCAATATGATAAATGTTACCAAATGTTTGGTAATAATTACAAAATTGTTAGTAACATTAACTTTCATATAGTAATATTCACTTCTTATATTTAGTTGATACTATTTTACTAAATGTAACTATAACACAGGCTGGATAATTATTACCAAAAATTTTTCTCAGTGTACTACTGTGTATGCGCGTCGTTCAGAATTGCAGAAAGCATAATTTTCATTACTCTTCTGAACAGTGATGGACAATTGTAATCACGTCGATTACGTGGCATTGATTATTGGCGTTTACAAAGAAACTACACACATAAATTTATTGAATTAGTGAAAAATTGAATTTTTTATTAAGGGAAACAAAGTTTTTACTTTTTATAAACCGAATTTGAACTAAGAACTAGAAATTCTCTTTTGTCCAATCAGAACAGGTTTAGTTCGTTCATTATCAGGTTAATTGAAACAGACTTTCTCCCATGTAACATTAAAACAAAGTATACCGTATAAAAAAAAAGATGTATTCAACAGAATTTCCTTTCACCCACACGCGTTTCAAAGCCATTGAAAAAGTCCCACGCTGTCTGGAAAAAAATTACTGCTACGCTACAATTCTATTCTTTATTCTGTAAATTTACCACACTTTCTTTGAAAAATTTTCTCCTTTGTAAGTACATCCAAGCTTGGCAATATTACCGTGGCATTTCTTCAGTTAATAAATGTTTACATCTACGGGAGATATTTTCTGCGTGTATTCTGAACTCCGGCAAAAAGGGAGCTGCGTCAAAAAAATGTCGCCTGCCTTGGGGATTTTTTCGACGGCTCTCGATTATCGAACTACTGCAATTAGCGTACGTCCCGATTAATTAGTAATTAAATCGTTGACTGACCCGCTTACCCAGTTCGAGTAACGAAGGTGCAAAAGCGTTAATCCTGCGGGAGGCTTGCTTTGATATCGTGCACGACGCAAATGTCGTGACACACTAGCGAACGGATGATTAAAATTGCATTTTAACAGTTCGCAAACTCCCTTCTTCTCTCTTTTTCACACACACTCCTTCTCCCTTTTTCTCTCTCTCTCTTCTTATGCTACGATATCCCAGGAGAACAAAACTACTCAAACGTTTCTTACTAGATTACTTGACGATATAAGACAAACCATTGCCGTCTTTATTGCACAACAATAATCAACGTGGGAAAAAACAAGTAACAAGTAAAACAAGGTAAGCTTTCTCTTGAGAGGTTCTCGAAGCAAGTGTTTGCACAACTTTAATTGGCAAAATTTAGTACTTACTTTATTTGTAACTTTGATGATGTGTCGTTCCTAAAGTAAACATTGTAAAGTAAGAACTTTTGATCGTGTTCAATACCACTTATTGATTGACAAATGAAGACAAAAGGATTTCTCTTGTATTATCCTGGACACGTATTATGGAATTTTTCGGAATCGATTCCGATCAGAAGAATTCCGTTTTCCTTAGAAAAGACAATAGAAATCTAGGGAATAACGGAAATATTCCGATCGGAATCGATTCCGAAAAATTTCATAATACGTTCCCTGAGATGTATCTGCACAATAAGTCTAAGACCATAAAAAAATTCGAGAAGTAGAGAAACATCGTCTTATGCTATTCTTCTGACTGGTATACCACAAGGCTCTATCCTTGATCCTTTATTATTCACACAATATAGTTAGCTGATATTTTTTTCATGCCATCATTTTCTGTAAATATAATTTCTAAGCTGGATGGCCTTGTTGTATATTTACACTGTGATCCACAATGACATTGCTAGTAGAGCATTGCAAAAAATATACTGATCTACATAGTATATATATACAGTATATTGTTAGGCGTCTAACGACAAAATAATTATAAGTTCAGCTATCAGTCGTAGCTATTCAGACATAGGCTATTATATTTTCAGTACTACAAAATATATTAACCGGGATCAACATTGATATTCTATCTAACATCAATGAAAATTGTATGAAATTTTCATCCGAGATAAAGTACCTAGGAGTAACACTTAACACGCTATCTTGAGAGCAGCGCATCCTGAAAGTTACAGATAAAATAAGTGCTACACTTTATCAATTAAAGTTGTACAAACACGCTTCTAGAACCTCTCGAGATCAAATTTACCTCAACGTTCGTTTTTCCTCACATTGACTATTGTTGTGTAATCATGGCAGACATTACTGCAAAACAGAATCTTCGATAAACATCACAAATGTTTGCGTGAGATTCATTTTCCGGGCGAAAAGGGATGAACATATACTTCCTTACTATGCAGCTTTCAATTGACTCAACACTTACAGCAGGAGGTCCTACTTTGTTGACTGCCTGTTATTTAAAATAAGAAATACTCAATGTCCGCATCTTTTACATGTCTGTTTCTTCTTAAGAAACACTAAAACAATCAGGGACACCGGACTGATGGTCTGCTTGCATTACCCAAATGTAAGACTGAATTTTACCAAAAAATCTTTTAGAAGTTACGCAACAAAGATTTACGATAGACTTCTTCCAAAATTCAGAAGTATTAGCAAACTGGATAGGTCGAAAATGCTTTCTGTCAATTGTTATTAAGCCGAAGAAATATACAGTCTACAGCCTAATGGTTGAATTATCCGTGCCTCGAGTGCAGTGATTTGTTTGATTCCCTCTTTGCTTTGCTTTGGTCAGATTTCTCTCTACTTGTTTATTATAACTTGTTTCATAGTTATTGTATGTAATTATACAATATCATATATACAATATTATACATAATTATCTGCTTTACAATTTAATTAATTCATAATAAATCAGTAATTCTTTATATAGTAATTTGAATCCGTTTTTGTTATTATTTTCTTTATGCAATTATAACTGATATTATTTTTGTTTTCGTGCATTTGTCCCAGAGCGCTAAATAAAGGACGCTTCTCTCTCTCTCTCTCTCTCTCTCTCTCTCTCTCTCTCTCTCTCTCTCTCTCTCTCTCTCTCGCGCTCTCTTCTTCTTTCTCCATCCCCACAGAAAATCTCTGACTTTTAGTAGCGGCCGGTTGATTGTGAATGCATTGCATCGGTATTGATCGTAATACTTTGCTTAGTGTAGTAGCGTAGTTCGCCTACATTCCCAGCGGGAAAAGTAATCGGAAAGTGCGCGATTTCCCGTGCAAGTTGACAAACGAATACACGTCGCTCCGTAGAATCTCGTCTCGCTCGCTCGCGCTCGCGTTTACCTCGAATCCCGCACCAAAACAAACTCGATTTTTGCCAAAGGATTATTTTTTTTACCCGAGAATACAACGACTCTCGATATCCATTGTGACGGGGCGGAGTGAAACGCCGCCTTTGGATTGCTCCCGGATGGAGAATTTCTGTTTCGAAATGGAGAACGCGCGCATAGAGAGAGAGAGAGAGAGAGAGAGAGAGAGAGAGAGAGAGAGAGAGAGAGAGAGA